CAGTGCGAAATTAAACGTAAATCGTCACGTCACGTGCGCCTCCAAATCAAAACAAACAAGCGTGGATTAATTTAATCTTAATTTAAAGTCCGACTGAAATCACTACTTTTAATTAACAACAGAAAATATAACAAATATCTGCATTATTATAAAACCTTTCCCCCTCTATTAAATAATGATTTAACTATTTAAATGTGTCTTTATTGGTTTATTTTATATTCTGTATATTACTGTCTTTCATTTGTTCTTTATGTACTGTATGTTATTTAGTTATTTAATCTTTTACTTGATTTACATTGTAATATTGTTTTTGTGTTTACCTGACTGTATATGAGCATTACTCTTCTTGAATAAAGCTAAACAAAAACAAAAAAACGAGTGAATGCGGCCGGTTCAGGAAACGTAAATGATGCCACTTCCTTACTGAATGAATCAGAAGAAGTAGGAACAAATATCTGCCTACTGAACAGTAGGTACTAAACAGTATACAGCTGATAGTAGGTACTAAACAGTAAACAGCAGATAGTAGGTACTAAACAGTAAACAGCAGATAGTAGGTACTAAACAGTATACAGCTGATAGTAGGTACTAAACAGTATACAGCTGATAGTAGGTACTAAACAGTATACAGCAGATAGTAGGTACTAAACAGTATACAGCAGATAGTAGGTACTAAACAGTATACAGCAGATAGTAGGTACTAAACAGTATACAGCAGATAGTAGGTACTAACAGTATACAGCAGATAGTAGGTACTAAACAGTATACAGCAGATAGCAGGTACTAAACAGTATACAGCTGATAGCAGGTACTAAACAGTATACAGCAGATAGCAGGTACTAAACAGTATACAGCTGATAGTAGGTACTAAACAGTATACAGCAGATAGCAGGTACTAAACAGTATACAGCTGATAGTAGGTACTAAACAGTATACAGCAGATAGTAGGTACTAAACAGTAAACAGCAGATAGTAGGTACTAAACAGCATACAGCAGATAGTAGGTACTAAACAGTATACAGCTGATAGTAGGTACTAAACAGTAAACAGCAGATAGTAGGTACTAAACAGCATACAGCAGATAGTAGGTACTAAACAGTATACAGCAGATAGTAGGTACTAAACAGTAAACAGCAGATAGTAGGTACTAAACAGTAAACAGCAGATAGTAGGTACTAAACAGCAGATAGTAGGTACTAAACAGTATACAGCTGATAGTAGGTACTAAACAGTATACAGCTGATAGTAGGTACTAAACAGTATACAGCTGATAGTAGGTACTAAACAGTATACAGCTGATAGTAGGTACTAAACAGTATACAGCTGATAGTAGGTACTAAACAGTAAACAGCAGATAGTAGGTACTAAACAGTAAACAGCAGATAGTAGGTACTAAACAGTATACAGCTGATAGTAGGTACTAAACAGTATACAGCTGATAGTAGGTACTAAACAGTATACAGCAGATAGTAGGTACTAAACAGTATACAGCAGATAGTAGGTACTAAACAGTATACAGCAGATAGTAGGTACTAAACAGTATACAGCAGATAGTAGGTACTAACAGTATACAGCAGATAGTAGGTACTAAACAGTATACAGCAGATAGCAGGTACTAAACAGTATACAGCTGATAGCAGGTACTAAACAGTATACAGCAGATAGCAGGTACTAAACAGTATACAGCTGATAGTAGGTACTAAACAGTATACAGCAGATAGCAGTACTAAACAGTATACAGCTGATAGTAGGTACTAAACAGTATACAGCAGATAGTAGGTACTAAACAGTAAACAGCAGATAGTAGGTACTAAACATACAGCAGATAGTAGGTACTAAACAGTATACAGCTGATAGTAGGTACTAAACAGTAACAGCAGATAGTAGGTACTAAACAGCATACAGCAGATAGTAGGTACTAAACAGTATACAGCAGATAGTAGGTACTAAACAGTAAACAGCAGATAGTAGGTACTAAACAGTATACAGCTGATAGTAGGTACTAAACAGTATACAGCTGATAGTAGGTACTAAACAGTAGACAGCAGATAGTAGGTACTAAACAGCAGATAGTAGGTACTAAACAGTATACAGCTGATAGTAGGTACTAAACAGCAGATAGTAGGTACTAAACAGTATACAGCTGATAGTAGGTACTAAACAGTATACAGCTGATAGTAGGTACTAAACAGTATACAGCTGATAGTAGGTACTAAACAGCAGATAGTAGGTACTAAACAGTAAACAGCAGATAGTAGGTACTAAACAGCAGATAGTAGGTACTAAACAGTATACAGCTGATAGTAGGTACTAAACAGTATACAGCTGATAGTAGGTACTAAACAGCAGATAGTAGGTACTAAACAGTATACAGCTGATAGTAGGTACTAAACAGCAGATAGTAGGTACTAAACAGTATACAGCTGATAGTAGGTACTAAACAGTATACAGCTGATAGTAGGTACTAAACAGTATACAGCTGATAGTAGGTACTAAACAGCAGATAGTAGGTACTAAACAGTAAACAGCAGATAGTAGGTACTAAACAGCAGATAGTAGGTACTAAACAGCAGATAGTAGGTACTAAACAGTATACAGCTGATAGTAGGTACTAAACAGCAGATAGTAGGTACTAAACAGTATACAGCTGATAGTAGGTACTAAACAGCAGATAGTAGGTACTAAACAGTATACAGCTGATAGTAGGTACTAAACAGCAGATAGTAGGTACTAAACAGTATACAGCTGATAGTAGGTACTAAACAGTACTAAACAGTATACAGCAGATAGTAGGTACTAAACAGTATACAGCTGATAGTAGGTACTAAACAGTACTAAACAGTATACAGCAGATAGTAGGTACTAAACAGTATACAGCAGATAGCAGGTACTGACTACTGACAGATTGAAGAGGTACTTGGCAATTCGGATGCAGCCCTGGTTGCCGCTTGATGGGACCTTCTGGGGATTTCTTAGCTTTTGAAGCATGACATCTAATGGGCACTTTAAGGTACTGCAGTTTATCGCACTTTACATTAGCTTCATTTTCAACACTAGAGGTCGCAGCTTTTAGGAAATGTACATCTGAAGTTAGTATTGTTCTTATGAAACTTGAGGCTGTTATTAGATCGACTACTTTGATAGTTGTTGTGGCGTTTGACGTCAATAGGAGAACTTGTAAACACACAGTTGGATGTTAAAGAAGCCAGACTGCGAGGAAAAACATGGTCAAAGGGTGAATGAATTACAAACACTTTTCAGCCCACTGGTAGAGAGGACCTCTTGAAAAACTGCAACCCTCAATAGTTTCCAGGAAGTGAGTCAAAAAGCTATGATTGAAATAGACAGCCCTGAGGTGTGCTGGTGTCTGACTGTGAATGTAAAGCTGAGTGCAAACAACAACAAAAAAGGCATCATTTGTCCTCACAGCAGACTACCGTTGAAATATATATATATATACACACCCCATGAAAAAATAACTCTTCAGAGACTGCCACATTTCCACAGCCTGGAAACAAACAGCAGCTAAAGTGAAATCTCACCGCGTCTCTGGAATGGTACAAATGACAGTTTTGGGGCAACGCAGTCACGCCTCCACTCTTTACAATAGCACTGTTGCACTTCTAGCGAGAGGTTCACTCAAGAAAATTGGCTGTTTAAAAACTAGATGTGTCACAGATGTCAATATTCTCTGAAACGGGGAAAAAAAAAAAAAAAGCCATGTAACAGTCCTATTAGTCAAAGAAAAACGTGTCTGAGAAATAATCCACTGGTCGGGTGTAGGAGAGAATAATAATGCAACACGTCTGTTTGAGAAGTCCTGATGGAGGAATATTTATCATCTTTCTTTTCAGAGATAAATCTTAATATGCAGCTTTAACAATTCTTCACTTTCTTATTTTGAAAATGTCTGACTGTTGGCTTTGAAATGCTCTTCTCTTTCATTCAGGGCTGCAGTGCGGTGGCTCAAGGTAATGACACAGACGTGGTATTTTTACTTTAAATCAAGTCTTTCTCATGAAAGGACAGTGGGGTGAGTTACCTTGGCAGAAAGCGCATCATGACGTCTCCGTCTCCTGTAGCAGCGGCACCGCCCACTGAGCTGTCAGCGTAGCCCCCGGCTCCGACGATGGGAGAGTCCCCAACACGACTGCAGGACAGGAGTATGAGCAGGGGCGTCAACATTAAACTAAAGCCACATCTAAAAGTAACCCTAACCCCGAAGGATACCAACGTCCGAGCTGTAACCTTCATTTCAATGTGATCTTGTTTTCATCCATATTGATGATTCAACAAACTGAAACTTGTCAAACTCGCCAAAAACAAAATCCTGCACCCAAATCTTAGCGCCTAAAACAGATGTTGTTCTATTAATTAGCTCTCCTCTGATTTACTCACAGAAACTAAATCAAACTGTGGAAACAGCTTCAAAACAAAAAGCTGCTGAAGTCTGATATGATGCTGATTTTTACACTAATTTGCTTTATTCATTGTGTGACTATGGTTTATAATGCATCCTTAATGAGTTTTGCACTGGGACCACAGACTGTAAATATTAATGTTTGAAGCCTGAGTGACATCACCCGTCTGTTCCTGCAGGGGGCGCTGGAGTCTCATCGATGGCGGTCTCCATGCTGGAAATGCTGTCTCAGTCTAACTTTCAGTCAACCTAACGACAGGCTGAGAGCTGGAGCTGAGGCGGGTTTAAACCTCCTGACAAACCGTTACACCGCGCCTGTCAATCAGGTCAGCTACACGCCTTATTGTGAATAACTCTTATCCTTCATCAAATCAAAACTGATGAGTCATCAAAACATTCACCCCCCCGTACAGTGTGTGTCCATCCAGACATGAGCTAATCACACCTATTTGGTTTTTTGAACCAGGCTGTAAACATGTTCATTTCTGCTGTTTTGAATGGGTGTGTATGTGACTTCCTGTGATTCTGCAGCCAGCCTCTAGTGGACACTTGAAGATCTGCAGCATTTTGCACTTAACATTGGCTTAATTTTTTTAACATAAAAGGAATGGCTGGGACAAGTGCCGCGATTCCACATCTGGAGGGGAAAAGTTTAACATTTTAACTTTTATGCGCCTCCAAAAACTGCTTCAAAAAATGCAGCAGCAGAGAACAGCGCCCAGCAAGCGCGCTGTAGCATAAGAAAACAATGGTTTTGCTGGCGACGCCTTTCTGTGTGATCGGGTCTTTGCTATTAAAAAAAAACAGGACGCAAAGATTTTTTTACACAAATTTTCCCAAAGACCTAGATTGAACTTCCGTGCTCAAAATTATGAATGCTTCTTTTTTTTTTTGCTTGTTTCCAACGTAGTCCACGTACCCGGGAACTTTGTGCGTCAGTCCGTTGGTTGATGTTCCAACAGCGATGTGGCCGTTTTGGTCCAGAGCAATCATCCCTGTGTTAAAGACAAAAAGAAGAAGTTATATTAAAAGTCACCTAGAGGAAGTGCTGGCGCTGCCCGGGTTATTTGTGAGGATTATTATGAAGCTACTCCAGGCTCCCTGATCAGTACATGAATCTACGACTTTAATAGAGTGAGAGTTTGGAAATCCAGCAGAAACAAACCGTCCTGTCTCTGCTCCTTTCTGTAAGGTCACGTTGATAAACCTCCTCTCACCTCGCGTCTAGTCTCCATAAAGCGTCAAAATACTTAAGTCTACAAAATGCCCGAGGACGGATGATGGTACCCTCAGTATTAACAGACAATAGAACCTACCGATGGTGTCATGGGAGCGCGTATTGGCGTGCTGCAGCCTCTTGCTCTGGCGCAGCATCGCTCTGGGCTTGTAGGGTCCGCACGATGTGGAAGGATCTGGAAACATGTTCTTTAAAAAAAAAAAAAAAGGAGAGAAGAAAATCTGAGCTGTTTGCATGATGCCCGTTCACTTTTTACCAACACTCTCACCCTCGCCTGAGCTCATACAACTTTTTCCAACACTTCAGAGTCATGTGACCTTTAAACTTCCTGGTGCACTCTTTACGCTCCGCTCGACTCATGAGGTCATCAAAATGTCTACATGTACAGAAAAATGGGAAAGTTTTATCAGTGTTTCTTTAAGTTCAACATCTTTGTCTTGTTTTTTTTTCTTCCTCTAAGCTGCTGGAGCTGCACACTTTCTGCTGGGATTAATAAACGACCATTTATAAACTTCCTCTTTCTAATCAAACACAAGCATATGGTGGATTGCGAGCGTTTGCCTTGACTTTGCTGCGACGTCAAGAAATAAAAGTAAGCACTCTCGACACCGAGTGAGCGAGAATAATAAACCTGAGAGTAATTATCAGGAGGGAGTCTTGTTGTGTTTGGATCTCCTGCTGCAGACACAGCTCGTCCTTCAGCTCTCACATAGCATGTTTTTATTGAGACTGACACAGCTGACTGTACCCGACTCTTCCTTTGTCTCGCTTCCTTCAGGCTCGTATGAGGGACTGAATGTAGCCAGCTTGACCTGCAGCATGCCGCAGAAAGTTAATTCTACTCTTTGGATGTAACCAATAAAGAAACATGGTTAACACTTTCAATACAGGTTCAAAATATTCACCATTAACTAGCTATAATTCATGATTAACTACTTCCTTTATTACTTCCAATAAGCAGTAATTAGGATGAAATTAAGGGGAAACTCTTAGGGCAGTTTCAAATAAGGCACCATTGTTTTGTACCGCGCCCAAGCACGATTGCTCCCCCTCCTGTCCCCCCCCGCTGACCTGCGTTCACATTAGCAACATCATTCCATTACCGAGTATGTAAACTTATCGATGCAGCAGGTGGCAGTATGCACATAGTTGGTTTGGAAATCCTCCAAAAAGAAAAAAAAAAAAAGTAACCATGGCAACCACTCACAAACTGAGCATAGACAGAGTCCATGCTGCTCTCTGTGGACGTGTTGGTCATTTCTGAGACGCCGACAACGACCCTCTTCCTACTTCCACAGCTACCGTGCGGCTCAGAGGAGGAAACGGGCCTGGGCTGCGCGGATACAACGCTTTTTTGAAGCAACAGGAACCGTTTAGAATGACGTCATGTAGCGGTTCACTTCCTCGTTTGAGCACGGTTCTGCACGGTTCACATCATCCGCGGACCGTACTCGAGTACACATGAATCACGCCTGAGAACACCTCTTCAAGCGGACTCGGGCACGGTATCCAGGGTACGGTACATGCTAACAAGCAGCTAGTTAATGGTGAATATTGTGACCTTAATCTAAAGTGTTATTTTCAAACTGGTATCAAACAGAAGTCACATGGTGTTACTCTGACATCATACTGAATGTTAAAACAAAGGGAGTTCAGTTCTTCATATAGAGAGGATCTGTATCAGCACGTTCTTCTTAAAGGACTTCAATAACGACATCAATAAAAAAAAAACATCAACGAGTCTGCTTCATGAAAGTGCCCGTTCATTATTCATGAAGCAGACTTTCTTCTACTCTATGAAGGGGAAGGGAAAACCTTCAAAAACATTCAGACACTCTTTAGTTATGAAGCATTCAGTCGGAGTTGTTCTGGTGTCACATGAAATCTGAACGACACAGACGACACTTCCTCATGGATTATACAAAACATACTGAAGTATTTAATGTCTGACTGTGTGAAGAACACGACCGTTATACCGTTTTCCATTTTCTGGCCTTTTCATGCTTTTATTTTGAAAGACAGGACAGTGTTTAGAGTCAGAATCCAGGGAGAGAGAGAGTGGGGAACGACCTGTCGGAAATGACAAATAGGTCGAATTCCAACCCGGGTCACCCTCTGTGGAGGACTTGATCCTCTGTGCACGGGGTGCGCAAACTAACTTTTGTACTTTTTAAGGTTTATTTTTTTTAGCTTTTCATGCTTTTACTTTTAGAGACAGGACAGTGGATTGAGTCAGAATCCAGAGAGAGCGAGAGAGAGTTGAGAATGACATGCGGCAAACGAGCTAGAGAGAGTCAAACCCGGTCCGGTCTCTCGAGGACTTAAGGAAGGTGCATGGGGTGCGTGAACTAACCGCTAGCCTCAATTTTTTAGGAATGATTTTTTGGCTTTTCATGCTTTTATTTTTTAGAGATATTAAAGAATCCATGGAGAGAAGAGAGCGAGAGAGAGAAAGATAGAGTGTGTGGAACAACATGCAGGAAATGAGCCAGAGGTCGGAGTCAAACCTGGGTCCTGTCTCTCGAGGACTTAGGCCTCTTAGGAGTTAGCCTAGCAGTTAGAGCGCGGCAGACGCCTGCACATGGGCTACCCCTTCAATATTTCACAAAACTTCAGAACTCTCAGGGATAAAACTTGATAAAGATATCTCATTTCCTGAAATAATCTCAAACGTTTCTTCTTGTAGGGATGATAACAGCAGACAGAAACATGATGGTCTCTGTCCTGAGGTATCGCTGGATAGAATTAAATCAATAAAGCCCTGCTTACTCCCTCTGCAACAACACAGACGTCTGAAAAGGAAGAAGAGGAAACGTCAGTGAGGAGATGTTTGAGGTGTTATTGGAGAAGTGAATGTGTTACTTTTAAAGAATAAGTCAGAGCGGAGCTGAAGGGCTCCGGCAGCAGGAGCGGACTTTTGATGAACTGCGTTAGTATGCCTGTCAATTTCCCTGCTTAATATCAATCTTTTAGACGCAGCACGCCTGTAGCCAACACAAGTGAGGAAAACACACACTCCTACACACACACACACACAAACACACACCTTTCGATAATTAGGTTGGCAGTTGCCCTTCAGCCACTGTGAGAAAATATTCATGGATTTGTTGGTAGTCAGGTCTTCTGCGGTGAAGCCCATGTTTTCAGCAAACACAGACGCTGTGAGGAGAGAAGGGATACTTTCAGGTCAAGCTCCACTCCCCTCAGCTGTGCTGACCTTGGGTTATAAACAAAAAAACAAAAAAAGGGGCCGCAAAAACAAATAAAGCGATGGCGGGACGATGTCTCATCTTGTCACTCTGCGCCTGTTAGCATGACGCTCCAGTTAAAGCCAATATTTATGATGAACTGCTTTTCGCTTTAAAAATAAATCTGTCTAACAATTTCATACAAGACAAAATATTTGATTTAGAAGATGCCGATCAGATTGGAATTAAACATCGACATATCGGCCTTCACTTTCCTTCACACACCTCTCAGAGGGATCTCCTCGTTCTCTACTCATCTGCTGCTCTCATACAAACACTAAAATAACACTCTCATATACGTTTCCTCTCTGTGCACCTGTCTGTTATACAATCACTCTGTTTATAGTTAGAGCATTTTATGTAGCTCTAACCCATGCAATCATCACTGACCTCTGATGTTAGCGATACAGAGATTGAAGCTTGTTTGAGTGTTGCAAAAAAAAACACACATAACTGTAAATGTTTGAAATGTTTAAGGCTAAATATGACAAGTGCCTGATGAGGATGATGACTCATGCAAACTCAAGTAACAAAAGGTCTCCTTAGAACAGGATTTATTCTTTTTATATCAAACGTATCACACAGGAGGTAGAGTCTCTGTTGTTGTGTGAACTGAATGTTCTGTACGCTGCTGGATTTCACAACAAGACGAGCATTTCCAAAAAACTGCACTTTTTATTTCTTGGTCTTGTAATCCACTCATACCTGACTCTCCGACCAGCAGCGTGTGCTCGGTGTGCTCCATCACAGCTCGCGCTACTCCGATGGCGTTCTTGATTCTTCTCAGATCTCCCACTGAACCCACCTCCATCGTGTCCCTGAGCAGAGCGGAGGAGAACAACAGAAAACAAAACAATAGCTACAGGTTTAAAGGAGAGAGAAGCTCTGTTCTAAAGAAACCTGTGGAGGAGCACAGAGAGAGATGTGAACAACACAGGGCTCACCCTCTTTAAGTTCACTGACTTTATGGTGTTTTAAGAGGAAGGAAAAAGAAAACCTCAAGGATACACACACGTGCTCAGCCCTGTGATTGACCGCAAACAGATTGATGAAGCAAATCAGACAAATGTGACGATGTGGTAAAGATTTTTGATATTTTTCAGTGGCTCCTTTCCTGCATATCATTTCCCAATCTCAGCACAATGTTTAGTTTTAAGTTTGAGACTGGACTGTGATTTGTAAAGTAGCTTTAAAGGCTGTATTCTATGTCAGCGATGTCACCGCTTGGATTATCGAAAAAATGTCAAATACTCCCACACACACACAAAATGACTGAATGGCTGGACTTTCTTAAACTGTGCAGGTGTTTCAGTTCTCCTGCTTAGTCTAAGTGTGCCGATGTAGCGACTGTCTTACTAATGCAGCTGTATTGGATCGTGTGTGGGAGTTTCCGCTCTCCTCAATGTATTCACGACTGTGTAACAAAATAAAAAACTGACCTGCAGAACGGAAAAATAAAACCGTCCATAGGGGAACAACAAACAACTTGTCCGCCATTACACGCTGACATTTGCCTCTCATAACAACTTCTGATGCGCCCAAATGTTTGTAACTCGGGGTATTAATAACATGTTACCTTTCAGAGTCTAATGAGAGTCTTAATTAGTGCTTCATTAAAGGCAGGCCGGCTGGAAAAGGTCAGCCCCCGTTATAGCTGCAAATGTTGCAGATGCAAAGACAGCGGCAGGGAAAATGATGTGATAGTCACACAATGTGTTGACAAGCTCAGGTGCTTAATGAGAGAGGTCAATGTCGAGGTCATTTTCAGGAACATAGAAATGATTTATATACTCATTAAATTCTGATTTCACATTGTTTGTTAAAAGTCATTTGGAGCTTATATTTTCTAAATCTCAGTGAATCAACTTTGAGAGGATTGCAGGTGGATCATTTATCTCGACGGTGCTAAAAAAATACAAGTGGGCCTTTACTTTTCTCACACAGCTGTTAAAATAGCAATGGAAAAAAAAGACACATAACACCTCTAAAAGTCTAATATTCAGGAGTGCTGATAGCCTGGCTGTTATGATGCGTGCTGCATGTCATCCCCCGCTCTCTCCTCCCAACATTTCCTCTCTCTAAAGGCAAAAAGCCCCCAAAAAAAGTCCAATAATCTGCACACCTTTCAGGGTTTTTGAAATGCTGCATTACAATTTTTTTTCCATGCATCCATCGCTTTTCCTGTTTGGGGTCGCGGCGGGGCTGGACCCTGGATTGATAGCCAGCCAATCACAGGGGCTGACATATAGAGACAGCCACACTCACCAGTTAACCTAACGAGCATGTTGGAGCTATTTCATTGTTGTTAGAATTAGTTTGGGTATTTAGTTCACTAATATTTGGGTGTTGTTGTTTATTGAATTATTCTACACGTTTATTTAGTAATATTTTCTTTTGCTAGTTATTTGTTTTATTTATTTCGTTTTGCATTAATATTTTTGTTAGGTATTTGGGTAACACTGTGGGCACCAGAGGTTATTTAGGTAAGAGGCAGGTGGAGGACCAGCATGCACCTGGGTGGGCCTTTGGTTTTATACCAGTGCAAGAGAAGCCGCAGGAGCCACGATTTTCTTAGTTCTTTTGTTTGCTTTCTTTTGAACCAAATAAACCACCAAAAAAACACAGATCTTCTGCCTGCGTACATCACATCCCCCATGGTGCATCAGTGGTCATTTGATTATGTTTGATATTAGTTTATTTAGATTTTTTTGTTTTTGGACAAATAGCCACTACAAGCATGTGTTTGGACTGTGGGAGGAAGCCGGAGTACCAGGAGAGAACCCACACATGCACGGGGAGAACATGCAGACTCCACACAGAGAGGCTCCTGTCAGACGGGGATTCAAACCAGGAACCTCCTCACAGAGAGACTCCTGTCAGACGGGGATTCAAACCAGGAACCTCCTCACAGAGAGACTCCTGTCAGACGGGGATTCAAACCTCCTCGCTGTGAGGGGACAGCGTTAACTAACTCTGTTTATCAAGTCAAACTCAACTATTAACAGAAACACAGTTCATGTCCATGGCTTACCCGTTCATGATCATGGCGTCCAGTGTTGTCTCTCCGGACTCGTCTGGACTCCCACCGTAACCCACGCTGCCATCGCACTGCTCGCTCTCACAGCGGGCGCAGCCTTTCTCCACCGCGTCCAACACGGAGCCTCCGGACTGCAGGACACTCCACGCTGCATTCAAACAGATCACAGATCAACATTCAATATGCCAGACACTGATTTGAAAAACAAACACTGCAGCCGGGGCACGAGTCTCCCATCCTTGACTTAGTCCGATCATTTTAAGACTTTTGAGTTCAGGCAAAATTTGGCATCTTGACCTCGTGTTGGTTGACGCAGAGAAAAGGTCACTTAAGTGCTGAAAGGCTCCAGATTTGACTGAAGAACGATGCTCT